GTCCTTTGAGACCCAGTGGTATGCCTTTCTGATGCCGTTTTTACACTTTGAGATTCGTGCGTTGGCTTCGTCTACCAGACTACCTTCAGAGCTGATACAACTTCCAGCAGACGTATAACGTTCTACAACTTCCAGGGTAACTGACTGAATTCTTAGGATTATCTTAAAACAATGTGTATCCTGCAGCTTGACTGCACTTTGTTGGCGAAAGCATATCCCAAAGGACTGGATAACCTGGGTCAACTTTTACAATAATGCTTGCTTTTTTGAGTTGTATATTCCGAATTGGGATGGTTCTCTTTCGGAGGGACCTCCCACATTACCTCATCGATAACGCAATTAGACATAAATATATAGAGTAGACACCCTTGTTGGACGCCACCATTTAAAAAAGTTTATTGCGAACATCCCATGCACTCGTGCTTAAGTGTGAATACAAACAGCATACCATATTCACGAACTTCTGGAGCATACCTGTTCTGTAATTGTGTTGAAAAGGACAAAACGGCCGACAGAGTCGATCGAATTCTTCAATTCAGGGAACACCAAGATTGTAGGGCGCCAGGAAGCCGTTGCTCTACTACTTGAAGGAGTGAGATGTGGTCCACACAGCTCCTTCCAGGCCGGAAACTTGCCTTCTGTTCTCGGGTCCCGTCTTGATGAACCTTCGTCAGACGGCGTAGAATAAGCGATGCAAAGTCTGGTTGCAACAAGGGTCGAGCGAGTTCCCGTGATTCACACTCACTACGAGCACCGTCCTTAAAATGAGCATCACTATCGACTCACCCTAGCTGGTTCGGGCGGTCTTTTCGCCAACATAGAGGCAAACAAGTTATGCAAGCATCGAAACAAAGCGAGTGAGAGTTCATCAAGCACAGATCCTTTAGTGGTTTATAACAATGCCAACATCAACAGAACCAGTCGCATCGGCTTTTGGAATACAAGAGATGCGCAACCGGAAGCGGGAGGAAACCGATATAGAGCTTTTGTATCCTCGTTCCAGAAAGACAGCACACGTCAACAGAAAACGGGTCCAGGGTACACACAAGGACAGTCCGTTTTAAGCTTGTTTCAGAGTGTCGCCAGATAAATTGAGCGTCATTGTTTTAAGAATAAGTTCGAAGTGTCTGCGGCTGTCATCATAATCATCATCGACAGCGTGATATCAGTGTTAAACGCCGATGCTTCACTGCCGTGTCAACCGTAAATATTGCAGCTAACGGCAATGAGCGGTGAATGTACCTGTCAGTACTTATGAATGACGTATGAAGATGTCACTGATAACAGGGTGAAAACGACGAAAGAGAAAGGGAGTATGCTTCACTGCCGTGTCAACCGTAAATATCGCAGTTAACGGCAATGAGCGGCGAGTGTACCTGTCAGTACTTATGAATGGCGTATGGAGATGAGACTGATAACAGGGTGAAGACGACGAAAGAGAAAGAGGGAGTGTCAGCAGTAGCCTGTTATCGCTTACCCGCCCTGCTGTATGTAGCGTGTAAGGTGACCCGGCTGATGGCACCACGCTGGATCGATGTGGCGTCAGTTTATTGGTATATGTGCAATTCATGGCTGAACGTGGGTTGGGATACTGTCAGGGCGCCCACACGTAGACAGCAGAACAATTAGAGTTCTCAACCAAGTTCTTTGGTTCATAAGCCTGACAGCAAGGCGGCGGTGTTTTGGTTGGAAACGCAAGTACATTATCATTTTTACGGAACACGTCGCCACGCATGTTCCAACCCCCAACCTGGATTTTTTTTTCGGTTCTCCATCCGTAGACCAACCTGATATGAGAGACTGCGAGGGTTGCGCGGACACCCTCCAGGATTGTTCAGTGGGTCGCCGAGGTACACAAACCGTCACCACAGTATGGTGTAGTGTCTTCGTGACGAATTTTCCTAGCCACACTTCGTAGCTGTGGTTTACCTATCACAATGTGCTGGGCTAGCGTTGAGACCAGCAAAAGGCCTTGGGTCGGTTCTTTTGAAGATATCTTACTGCATTGTTATGTTTTCATCTCAAACCAGAGTGTATGCACCTTGTTTTTGGTCGTTTCTGACGAGGACATGATAATGATTGCACTAGGTCCACACCCTTGCCCTTCCTTTTCCACCCTTCGCTCTGGCATTCATGGCATTGTGGCAGTTGATGACCAGTTATTGCTTGTGACGCCTTGTTGTCGGTGATGGTGAATGTTGTCGTCGTTTCTGACGAGGACATGATAATGATTACACTAGGTCCACACCCTTGCCCTTACTTTTGCACCCTTCGCTCTGGCATTCATAGCGTTCTGGCAGTTGATGACCAGTTATTGCTTGTGGTGCCTTGCTGTCGGTGATCGTGAATGTTGTAGGAAAACTTTAGTACTTATTGTGCGCCTCGTGGCCATTAAGTCGTCTGTCATTAGCTCACGTTATCCTGCCGTTTCAGTAATTCTATTGGTGTCTATAATGTTCCGACGGATGGTGCTAATTATGTATCCGAGGCCAAATGACCTGTCAGCAGTTGATTGATGTGGTGAAATAGTGTCAGCTTTGCTCATTACTGAGACGGTGTGAAGTGTTATTCCATATCCCTTGGTAGGCAATATTTTCAAATGCAAATAACCAGTATGGTTCCCGCTGCTTAGTATCGCCTATTTTTTAGTATATATGAATCGTAGTCAGTGAGAATAGGGTGTATTCTGTGTGACGTTTATTTCGGTTGATTGTAGCTGAAAAAACGAAACCTTCTGAGTTTTCGTTTTGCAGTTCGCAGGCTTTATGTGACGGATGCGACTTACTATGTTTGCTTTCCGGCTTTCCTCGGGTTTTCAATATTTGTCTTACTACTTGATGTCTGGCCTCTGGGGTCTTGTATGCGGTCTTAGATAACTACTGCATACAGTAGGAGGGGATTCGAGTATCAGAACAACGAACAGTGATTATTCAGGTTGATATGGAGTATGTTTTTTGCCCTCATTCGGATGAGTATCCGTCCAATCCATAGAGATCCGCAAGGACACCCCGTCCTATTACATCAAGTTTTACCTGGTGCGTACCCCTAAGGTCGCGTTGCAGGTTCATTGCCTTGACTTAAGTCGGACAAATTTGCAAGTCAACCTGTAGATCAGGTACGCATGTTTGTGTGTTCAACTGGCTAATTGCCCATATCTTCGTAAACATCAGCTGAGTGTGCTCTTAGCTTTAGGGATTTTCTGTTTGCCGGACTGGTTCGCACCGATCAAAATGCGTTCATGTGATTCAGAACAACTTACATGTGACATTTTCTTTCCCGCGGCCGGGTTCCTCGCCGTCGTTCAATGGGGCATGAAAACCCATGAGTGCATTCCAGCCCATTGTGTTTATCGCTGTTCCCGATTTTGGTGGGTCTAAAACGGGCTAACGGACAGTTTTTTCTAATTGAATCACGTACAATGTCAGCGAATCCGTAACAAGGCAGTTAGAGAGCGTGTTTTCGGTTGTGTAACGGGTACTTCCATTGAAGAATGTGTCCAGCACCAGAAGCTGCGTTGGTTGGGACATGTTTTACGCATGTCGAACCATCGTTTGCCGAAGA